TGAATAAACTTTTGGCTCTCAAAATGGTATCAGTGCCCTATTTGTTGCTACTCGTCGGTATTGATACCAACATTTTAGTGCTGCATTAGGGCCGTGCCCGTTACTGGTATGGGTATCTGTGCAACACAAATTTTTACCCATAAATATAACATGGTATGATTTTATGATATTGTGAAGTCATATTTGAAATAGAAAAAAAAATGTCAACAACATTCTTTTCATCCGATATATAAAAGGAGACTTTTATATTTGCACTGATTAAATATCTGTTTAAGGGGGAAAAAAACAATCAAACAAATCAACTGCAGTACCAAGAACCAAGAATCAAATTTACATTGAATACGGACATTGGGTAAAAGTTTGTCTGGATCTTAACAAATGCTGTCATTTCATTGCTTGCGGTCTAGAGGGTATCCCCACAGTTATCCAATTCCCTCAGTTCCATTTCGTTGGCCTAAAAACAAATCTGAACATAAAGCACAACATTTCTTCTGTCCACCCTTGAGGTTAAACAAACTTTTAGGACAGAGGTAGTGATCTCCTGTGCTTTGTTTTGGGAAGTTTAGAGACACGTGGAAAAAGAGGGGTTAAAAGGACAGACCTAAAAATCTAATATAAGATCAGGTCAATACAGTTAAAAAAACCACGTTGGTCATGTCGTGGCCTGATTACAGCCAGACTGATAGAATCAAGAAACAACTTCATTTCAAGGAAACAAAATATTTCTAAGTCTAAACAGATTTCAGAACAGATGAGAAGCAAAATCACTGATCTCTAGTAGCTTAGATCTCCAGCTAAGTGTGGTGGGTGTCTTTATTCACAAATGACAAAAAAACAGAACAAAGTTAAATGCTTTTGTAGCACCTGGCTGACAAAAATTAAGCAACAAATCATCCATGAGATTAAATAATAACCTAGAAGAACATCTAAAGCACTGCAGACCTCACTCTACTCATTTAAGAACCATAAGCTGTCATATTGCCATCATTTTTTGAGCTTTCTTAAACTCAAAAACACTTAGAGTTTGCAGCAGAGCGATGATCATATTTTGAATTGTTCTAGTTAAAGTCTATCCACAGCAATTCTCCAAAGTGGACCCTGTCTAAACTCCTCCACGGTGAAGCTAAAGTCCCATTACAAGGGTTGTAACTGTAGTTATCGCTGGCAAGAAATCAAGATACACATTTTCAGAATTGTTGTTTCTATCAGGTATATTTTCACAGAGATAAAAAAATATATTAAAAGTACAGAGAAGATAAAAACATCTACACATATTTAAGTACAGTTTTGTGCTTCACTAGGTTTAGTAAAAGAATAAAGCCAATCCTTTAGAGACCAACCCTGCACCTTACAAGTATCTGGCTTAGTTTGCTCTGGAAAAATAACTAGCATCCTTATATGATAACTAATAATTACTTGTGGTGAGGTAGGACATGTGTTATTAAGTTCCTGTGGAAAAGTTTAGGGAGAAGAGTCAAATCCACACTGGACCAGATGGTTTGCGATGCATTCATTGCCATAGAAAACCATTTGGAAAACCTGATGCAATGGAAAACATGTACATCAGAGGTAACTTTTCCATTTTTACCATGACTAAGGGGAAAGTCTTTACAACGGATGTTAGCTTTAAACTCCTGCTGGGCAGGGGGGTGGGGGGTGGGGGTGTCATGATAGAATATGAGGGCTGGGGCAGAGGGAAAGAAAAAGCTGATGGCCAGATGTGAAGCTTTTCAAAGCTTTTCTCCAATCTGCTGCTGTGGGCAAGTTTCTTCAGCCCCACCCTTAGAAGCCTCTTAATGATAATTGTGACATTAAGACTTGTAATAAATGATTTGAGGTGAGAGACAAGAGACAAAAGCCTAATTAATAGATATGGAACTTTTGGGAGATGATAGATGTTCAACAGGTAGTCAAAGTCACCAGCTCAGAGTTTTTAAGTAGTGAAGCTGCAAACAGACAGCTCTAAGAATAAAAACAATTGTCTGCAATCTTCAAAGAGCATTTCTCTCAAAAGCAACAGAAACAGACTCTAATGGCAGCTGTGGTTTCTGCCTGCTGGGATGATGCATCTAAATATATGCATAATTTTCCCCTGTAACACAAGTTATCGTGTAGAAATGCTCCCTATTGTCAAAGTCTGGCTCCTGGCTCATTCTGTTCCAGATCAAATTCTGCTCATCCTTCCCTCAGATGCATTGCCTCATATAGCATCAGTTGGTACTTGTGCGTCAGTCTTACACAAGGCAAGGCAGGCTTGCCAGCTAGCAAACACTCTCAGACACACGGGCTTAGAATTAAAAAGGAATGAAAAAGGAGTGATTTGGTAGGGGAGAGGATGTGTATGTTGAACCTGGGGGTATAAGTAAACAGTGTGGGTCAGAGACTGGAGTTGTATGATTTCCCCCCATCCACTCAAAACAGATAATCACAGAGTGGAGATTTTTAAAAATCATCATCATATCCTAATCAATCAGCTGGATAGTAGTTAATTTTCCGTTTTTGAGCAATGATAAACAAATGGTGAAAAATCTACATAATATAAAAGATTAACTGATTAATCGCAGTGCTTGGAACTGACAACTTTCTCTTAATTGACCAAGTAAATCCTAAAAAAAATTTAAAAATAATTAAATTAACAAACATTCCTGCAGGTTTTCATCTACAAACAAATTAACTACACTGTGTATTTTAATACATTTTTTATTTAGTTTAATAAAAAAGTAATGGATACTTTGGTTCATAAGTGCAGATAATCTCAAATATTTGTTTTTATATCTGACTTTAAAATGCAGCTTCCATTGAAAGACTTGCAGTACATTTCCATCCTTTTCTATATCAATACTCTCTCAATATTGGATGAATCATCATGGACCAGGAAAGCCCTGTTTTTTTATATAATCATTAAAATCAATAACTGGAATTAGTGGATGAGACCAGACAGTTAACCAGAAATTATGATTGGCCTGGAAATGCTTGATCGGTGCATTTCTTTCACAAGGTGATTTAACGTTCCACAAACAGAAGAAAGTGCCCCAGTCCCAAAGATAAAAAAGCCCCTCTTAGGGGGTTGTTTTAACAATGAAACACAACTGAAGAAATCAGCATCAATGCAGCATGAAAAGGTTCTGACATAACTAATCTGGAGTAGCAGTTATGTAATTCATGTGCAGCACAGTAATTCAATGCAGCGCATCATAACAACTCCCTAATGTGCTGTAATTTCTCCTAATTTCCCTCAAGATTTGAATAAAGAATAGGCTGGTGTACCAGATAAAAGCACGCTGAGAAGCATAACCATGTAGGAGTCTAACAAAAATATTGAAGTCTAAGTGACTCAAAAAAAAGCCTCCTCGCCTTGACTTTGATCCCAAACTGTTTATTTTTTCCAGGTCTGTACATCTGCAGGAGCTCCAGGAGGTTGTATTACACGCATAATATCCACGTTTAAGCTAGAGCTCTTCCTACCTGCACTTAAATGACCGGTGCCGGCAGGCAGGCAAAACATGTCTGATTTCCAGTTATTTACTCTCATACACCAAAAAAAAAAAAAAAATGTGATGCACTCTGTAATCTGACTGCTTTTAATCAGAACGTCTGCAATATTTACTGCAGTGGCTCAGCTCAGAAAACATGGGCCAGCCTTTGTTCCCTAAGTGCATTAACATTAGCCATCTCCCTGTCGCCGGTTCTCCACTGTTCCTTCATTGGACCACATTAGTTAGATACCACTGCAGACTGAGAGCAACCGAAAAGAGCTGGTGGTTTTGGAGATGCTCTGACACAGCCATTACTGCTCAGGTTATGTCAGACTTTTTAAAATCCTTATCCTTGACAATTTTCCTTTTAACACATAAAATCTGAAGACCTCATGTTTACCTGCAGCCTAAAACATCCCACCTCCTAGCAGCATGTGATCACTTCATGACCGATGAGGAAATAATCACTGTGGTGTTTTCTTTACCCATCAGAGGTTATCATTTTATAGCTGTCATGTGAAGGGAAATGCAATACAACTCACAGCTCCTTAATCCTTTAAAACAGCTTAACAACAATTCAAGAGCTCAATTTTTATAAAAAATATTCTAGATAGAGTTAGTTTTCATTGTGTATTTGATTAAATTGATATATTCCATATATGCAAATTGAGAAATTTAAAAATAAATATTCTAGTAAAAGGAAAACAGTTAAAACTTGACATACTGCAAATAAAATCAAAGCAAATTAATAAATTTGCAGCCTTCAAAAATATAGCCGCTAGAATGGATTGCCCCATTTGATTCAGAATATATAAAAGACTTCAAGATAAAACCAAAGAAAACGTCCTATCAAAATACCCAAAAGGTTTCAGGTTTATACTAAGCAGCACAGCCAAAGTTATTAAAAAGTAAGGACCAATGACATCTAAAAGGACTGAATGGGATCCTAAAAAATATATAAATAAAACAGCTCCAGCTGATTTGTTCTGTCTCTTATATTCAATTTGGAGACTCTAATCCCTGTGCGCTCATCAAAACCAACCCTGCAAATTAGGTTACCTTTCCGTTTGGCTTTGCAGAGACAGTGCTGCTGAGCGGTGCGTAAACTGTAGAGCTGAAACACCAAATAGACCCTGACAGGTATGACTACCACCCCAGACAGGAGCTCTAATGCCTGCATCTTCACAGCTGCTGTCTTAGAAAAGGATTTATTTATTTTTCTCTCCTTTTTACCCTTTTGATCCAAACATACCCTTAACTGATTTCACTCTGCTTTGGCTGTCCTTTCATTCCAGATGCACTGGATGCCTAAACGGCGGCATGCTTTGCATTTTGCTCATCATTTCTGTTTAAAGAAAGCCATGCAATGATTATGAATCCATGCAGAGGCCCGTTTGTCTCCAGAAAACATGGACCCAAACACAGGGCGTTTAACCCAGCCTGCCGGCTGCTCCATCCCCCCCAATGAGGTGCTTCACACCGAAATTGCGATGCGGCCACACGGCCAGAGAGCAGCTGTCTTACCGGCTGCTGTATGAGGCGAGCCGCCCCCCTCCCAGCTGGAGGAAGATGCTGCTGCCGCTGCTGGACTCCGCGCTGGAAATAGTCGCTGCCGGCGGCTCGTCTGCCAGCGACCCGCTCCCTCTTCTCCCGCACGCTGGAGCCTGCGTTTTCTCCCTCTTCGCCGGAGTCGAGGGTGCTGAAGTTCCACACAATGAGGGTCTGCACCAGCAGGACCGTGAGGGCTGCGATCAGGGCGGACCGGGAGCGGCGGGCCAGCCTGCGAGCACAGGAGCCGCCGACCATGTTCGCACGGCGCGCTGCGCGGAGCTGGAGGAGCGTCTGCGGCTCGGAGCGAATGGGGAGACGAGATCAGAAGAGTGGAAGTACAGAGGCAGGCAGGAGAGGAGGAGGAGGAGGTGGCGGTGTTAGTGGAGGGAGGCTGAGCTTTATGGTAGCGGGGGAGGCGAGGAGGAGCGTGGAGAAGGAGAGACAGGGGGCCACCGTGTGGTGGAAGCCGACGGAGGGACGCTCCAGGCGCTATCACACTACTTCCACTTCAATCTCTGTGTGAAGGAAATTAGTGCACATTTTAATCTACGAAAGGAGGAATTTGGATGATATCAAATAGGTCCAGGTAATTGCAAATATGGAAATGTTCACTTAGCGCTATTAGAAGGCAGAAAATGAGAGAATTACTGGGCCTTTAGGGCTTCTTCACAGACAACCTAACTGATGTCAAGGAGGGCATTGACTGGATGTCCTTAGCTTCATCTGTGCCCTAGGCAGCTTCACTAATTCATATTCTTCACAGGAACTACTTTTCAGATAGTAGTTCAGTTTAAAGAGAGCTGTACAGTCAGCCTCGGCAGATGGCCGCTCACACTGAGCCTGGTTCTGCTGGAGGTTTCCTGGTAAAAGGGAGTTTTTCCTCTCCACTGTCGCTCCAAGCATGCTTAGTGTGAGGGATTGCATTTGAGTCAATGAGTCGATGCAATCAACTGGTTTTTCTTAGATAGAAAACTTTAAATGAATTTGACTGTATGATCTGGTGAACTGTAATCCCTTTGGGATTCTACTGACTCAAAAAGAACCATTTACAAAAATGGAAAAATATACATGGTACTGAATCTTCCCAGGGTGCCATAAACAAGAAATAAAAAATAAATAGACTTGGCAATCATGTTATTAGTCAACATGGGGCTGATAGTGTGTTGGTCTGGGACTGCTTTGATGCTTTACGAAGTGGACAACATGTCATTATGGACAGCTATAAATTCTGCTCTCTGACAGGAAATCAATAAGAAAAATGTCTGCTTATCTGACCTAAACTTATATATATATATGGGTTATACAGTAGGACAATGAAGGACATTGGCATGTGCACCTTTGGATTTCTGAAAATAACAAAAAAAAGCAATGAATCTACAGTGCACTAATCAAAGTTTGGACTTGGATGTTGTGGCACTCTAAATACAGTTGTAGTGGTTTAAGCATTCCTCTTCAAGCCAAAAGCCAGCTGAAAGGCCTCCGGTTTCCAGCCATAACATAACCTCCATGGACCTGTCAGTTACTAGAGAAGGACCTGCCATGGACCAGTCAAGGACCCTTTATGGAAACTGAAACTTTTAATCTGCTACTACTCTAAACCAATTCATTAGGATTAACCAGTTGAGCTTCAAAGACTCACTGTCAGTTGTCGCAAACACTTAACAGTAATTGTTGCTACCAAGAATGGCACAGCTAGCAGTAACCTTTTTCAGAAAGAGGCAGCTTGGTTTAGATAGCTTTTTTTTTTTCTCTTGATTTAAAAGATCATCCTTACAATTTGCCTGTTGTGTTTATACTTATATTATCTTTCTCTAATTTTGAAATCTGTTTGATTATCTGCTTTATATCTTGTTAACAAAAAAGCAAAAACACAAGCCATCTGTTAGGGGACAGATGCTTTTCTGGCACTGCTTTTTTAAGCCCTCATACTGTAACCATTACATTATAGATCTATGGTTCCAAAATTGTGGTGCAAGTCCTACAACTGGAACGTAAAAACTAATAAAGCTGCAACTGATCAATAAAGAAACAATAGGTTGGTGCAGGCGGCACAATATATCCCAAATTCTGATGGCACACCAACATTTTTAGTAATGTTCTATTTAAAGCCTTATGCAGAACATGATTGCTTTAAAATCACAGCCATTAACCGTAGAAACCTTCCTGATATAAAAGTAATAATCGCTACACTTACACAGCAGCACTACAGCATATGTTTCACATGGGTAATTAATCAGAGGATATCTGCTGTAAGATGGCCATATCCTGCTTTGGTCTAGGCTCCTCTGTGACTGGCCATTAACTTAGATATGTCAGGTACTTTGGAGGGTCATCTACTACAACTGAGCTACTAGCAGCTCCTAATTTCACTACAAAAACCCTCCCTAATCGTGTTCTTCAGGAACCTCTGTCCTAAACTTTCTGAAAGTGTCCTAATTAATCAAATGGTCATCTTCATCTTTCAGGATTCTGTCTCCTTGTTAAGAAACCCATTAATGTAAAACAGGGTAAACATCTTGAGCATAGGATATAGAACCCTGACTGCAACTGTGGTCCGCTGCTGTGTAAAACTCCAGCTCTCCCTTTAGGCATCTCTCCCAACCTGCTCTGAAGAACCTATGGTTTAAAGTGGAACTAGTCACACAAATTACAGCTTTTCACTAAAACCTGATTCACACCCTTATAGTTTAATATTAAAAGCTCAAATGATGCTCTCACTTCAGTTGTAATCTTTGCTGTCAGTAATAGGTGTCTTTCAATAAATAGAATTACTGTTTCCTCCTAGTTGGCTTCTATGTTGCCTCTAGTTACTGTGTTGATTTGGTATGAGGTCGTCTCGCCTGGCCGTGCTTTTCCTGTCAGCTTTCAGTTCATCAACCTTCCACTATCTTTCTTGTCAGCTACACAAATTGATTAAGCGACCAAAGATATTTTACCTGTTTCAGTTTAACTTTCAGTTGCTTTTCAATCAAGAAATCTGCATACATTTCTTCAAAGTAAAAGGACTATGTGCTCGTTGTTTCTTTTTCTTTTTTTCTTTAATTCAGTTTTTAAAGGCATTGCAAAAATATTCAAAGCGTTATACTTTAATGTGGTTATAGCTTAGTATATAGTATATAGGAGTATATTAAAATTGATTAAAATAAAGGCTTTTTCATTATATAGTATAGCTGCTTTTTTTCATTTATATATAAAAAAGAAATCATCCAAACATTTTTTTCTTTTGGTTTTATTTTCTTCTCCAAGGTTGGACTTATCATAAATTAAATGATAAATAACACAAAACTTTACATTTAATCAATACAAGATTTCCCAGCAAAAAGTGACCAAAATTATTCTCAAAATGTCAAATTTTAAAAATAAAATGTATTGACAGAAAGGCTTTTGCATTTGACTCATGCATAAAATGAATAACATATAATTAGAACTGCATTTTAATTTCCTTCTCCAAGGATGTTTATTGTGTTATTTCATTTAAATGATGGATAAAAAAAGTTTTTTATTTTATGTTCAAAAGATTTAGCAGAAAAAAGTGACACAGCGTCATGAACACTAGAAGATCTAAAAAAGCTGTGGGGTGAAAGAGCATAACTGACTTGCTTTGTAAAATCCAAGCCTGGGCTGCTATTGACGTCCTTCTCCTTTGCCACTCGAAATTGTGAATCAAATTGATATAAGCAACATTTTTTGCAGGGTCAGGCATGAAAACAAAAAAGTAATTTCCTCTTAGTTTTCTCTTTAGGTTTGTCAGACAATAGGCAGAAGATGAAAACAGTTTGAATGATTTATAAGCAGTTTTATTTATGATAAACTGCTCTGACTGAAATGAAAAAAAGCTATTTTGTCAGTACAGTTATATTTTTGAGTTTTACATTTTAAAATACATTTTGGTCAGTTTTTGCTTGACTATCTTTTGAACAGCACTTGTAACAAAATGAAACAAAATGAAAAGCTCTAGATAAGAAAATAAAATGTCTGGATTGTCTGTTGCTAAAAGTTTGTATTAGCCAAAAAATTACAGCTTTCGGTGGTGAGGTGGTTAGCGCACATGACCCATGTATGAAGGCCTTCTTGACCCAGGTGCAAATCCCACCCGTGGTCCTTTGCTGTATGTCACAACCCTCTTTCCTGTCAGCCCACTGTTGAATAAACGACCACTAGTGCTGTCAAAAAAAAAAAAAAAATGCAGCTTTGATTTTGAAATGAAAAAGAATTTCTAATAATGCATATTAAATAATGTAAAAGCTGTTACAATGCAATGTTAATATCAGATATCGGTGCAATGTTAGCAAGAAAACTAATATTCAACCTTATCGGCCGGCATCTAAAATTTCCAATATTTTCATGTTAATAGAAATGCTCTACTTCTGTTATACGTTTCTGTACTCATTGGTTCATTTTACATGGGTCAGTTGTTTTCATACCTTTTGTATTTAGTTTTTGTTCCCTGTTTTAATCATATTATTTGATCGACCTTTTAATCATTCTACAGTATAAAATAAGTAGTAAAAGCCGGTATGATGATATGGTATCGGGTCCATACTCAAAGCTGAACTGGAACATTTCATACATTTATACATTTAATGTTAAACACCCTTTTCTCAATCATTTTAATTAAGTAACAGAATGAGCATCTTAGAGAAGAAACCAAAACTGTCATGATGGGTTTGGGTTCCTAGGCCATATGCAGAACACCACCAGAGGCAGGGAAAAAGTTCAAAGATTTAATGAAGAATATTTACAAAACAGTTCAGGGGGGTAATCAGGTCCAGGGCTGGTTACGACTGGGTTCACAGGTCTGAGCTTGGTTGAGAGCTAGTAGGTCACCAGGTTTAAGTTTCCCTTCCAGATTCTTCTGAGAGTCGGTTGGCAGGTTTGGTTCTCCAGGGTTCTTCTGAGATCAGACAGACAGATTTCCAACAGAGAAATTCTCCAGGGGTTTCTGGTTTCAGACAGGTTCAACCTGGGAAACAGAGAAGACAAAAGGATCAGGTTCAGGTCTTGTAGTCAGGAGACTAGACAGACTGGTTGGCTCAGGGTTTGCTGTACCGTGACTGACTAACACTCTGGCACCGGAGTGTGGTCCTCAGCCCACTTAAATGCTGGTCTCCTGATGAGCAGATGAGGAACAGCTGGTGAAGTCAGCTTCAGGAGATCCAATACGCCTTCTGGTGGAGAAAAGGTAGACAGAACCCCAGATCCCAACAGTAACAAAAAATCCCCAGGAAGGGATCCTCGGCGCCCTCTGGATGGCAAGCCTCAGGATCCCAACAAAAACAGTTTTGATGACCTATTAGTAATTTTATTCCTTAGTAAAAGAAAAATGCAGCTGATGACTTTTACCTGAAAAAGAATTTCTGTTATGAC